AGCACTCATCAACAACTGGTATCAAGAATTCTTTACAGAAAACTCTTATGAAAACTATGCTGTCAATCAAGAAGACTACTTTAATATCTTAACTAAACAGAAAAATACCTCATCTGGTCATGATTCTATACCCTGGAATATTATCAAAAAGCTAGATTTAACTATACACAAACACATTATCAGGCTATTTGAATTCTGCTTGAGCAATAATAATTTTCCAACAGTGTGGAAAAAAGGCAAAATAACAGTAATTCCTAAAGGTAATCCAGACAGAACAAAACTAAGTAATTACCGACCAATAACCTTGCTACCAGCGATTGGGAAGCTTTTTGAAAAGGTTGTACGGAAGGTTCTGGACTCCTATGTGAGCGAAAGCATTCCAAAACATCAATTTGGTTTCCAAACAAAAAGATCCACCCTCCATCCTCTGACAATTTTGATGTCCAATATACAAACAATGAAACATGAGAACAAGAAATCGGCAGCAGTTTTCCTAGATATCCAAAAAGCCTTTGACAGTGTCTGGTTCAAAGGTCTTTTATACAAATTGTTTATTCTCAAAGATAAACTCAATATGCTCAGAAATATTCTATCCATCACAAGGCGTACCTGAAGGTTCACCACTATCTCCACTATTATACAATGTATTCTGCTATGACATATTCAATTCAAATGCACTGGGGTCGAAGACGCATATGTTCTGCAGTTTGCAGACGACACTGGTGGAGTAGCACATTCTACAACTCTTTCTAGTGTGATGGAAAAATTACAATCACTTGTAAATCTGATAATGAAATGGTTGCAAACATGGAGAATTCTACTTAATCCAGAAAAAACACAATTTATCATATTCAACCACAAATTAAATGAAAATAGCCCAAAAATAACCATCTCAACTCATCAAATTCAAGCAGCCATATGTAAAATATTTGGGTTTCTCATTGGATGCCAAATTGTCACTAAACCAACAAACCAAAAATGTTCAGATTAGAGTAGTCACTAGAGCCAAACATTTTCGTTCACTCACATACAAAAAACAAGGGAATCACTATCCAAACTGCAGCTCATATTTATACCTGTATTTGTAGACCATTAATTGAATACGGCCACTTACTTTACCAAAACATTAGAAGACCAGCTCTACAGAATTTGGAAATGGCTGAAAGAAAAGCTCTCCGAGCAATCACAAAGTTGCGGCACCCAAGAAATCCACTACACCACCCCTCCAATGAAGAGTTATACAATAGAACAGGGATCACACCAATTGTTGAGAGATTGCAGCACCTGTCGAATCATTTTTCTGAAAAACCATACAACTTGGAATTTTTAAGACCATTAATAAAAATTCGAACTCCTGGAAAAGTTTCACGCTATAAATATCCAGAAAATACTCTATGGGAAATGATAACAAGAACTCAATAACAGTGTATCTATTTATTTACATATTTATTTAGCTAACTATAATATATATATTTTTTTTTCTTTTTTTACACTATTTATCCAAATCTCCTTTTCTTCTAACCAGTAATTCTTTTGAATGTGAACCAAACAAGTGCAAATTTACTTTTTAGGCTGAAGGACTTCGGTCGATGGCCTTTTGGGTGTGTGTATGTATATTTATATATATTTGCCTAATAAAATTACATTTACTACTACTACTGCCCCTGTTCAGTCCTCGTTGGATGACTTAACCTGTACCTAACAGCATTGTAGAACTAACAGTCACCTGCAACTTTCGACGTAATTGCTGTTTGTTTGTCCGAATATAATTCATTATATCAACAGACACAAAAATTCGAGCAAAAATTCTTCACTGCGATCCACAAGAAGAATCGTTATAAAATAAACGAGAATTTTTTTAGAAGTATTGCGGGACTTCGCACGGTAATTCGAGGGTATTTCGGGTACTTCGACGGTAATTCCATGGGATTTCGCGTACTTCGACGGGAATATCTGGTATTTCGAGGTACTTCACGATATTTCTAGGTATTTCGAAGTATTTCGAAGGTAATTCGGGCCAAGTGTACACGTATTTCGGGAAGTGGTTGAGCCCTCGCCTTTTATAGGAGAATCCTCGGAAGAATCTAGGAACAGTCAAAAGCCTGGAGTAAATTTTCTTTACATACAAGAATCAAGGAACATCCAAAAGCCTGGAATAGAAAAGAAAAATGATCAAATTACCTTAAAACTCTTGTCTCTCTTTCTCTTCTCTTTAGTTTCAATTTTCAACTATTCCAGACTCTTGAATTTCTGTTCCCATCCAAATGTCTTTTTATGGAAGAATCAAGGAATAGTCGAAAGCCTAGAATAAAATTTATTTCCATAAAAGAATCAAGAAACAATTAAAAACCTGGAATAGAAAATAAAAATAATCAATTTTCATTAATTTTCTCCTGTCTATTTCTGTTTTCTCAAGTGGTAATTTTCGTGTAGGTTTGAATTTTTGTTTCCTTCAAAATTTCTTTTCATTAAAGAAAAAGGACCATTCAAAATCCTAGAATAGAAAAAAGAAATGATCAATTCTCGTTAATTCTCTCCTCTCTATTTCTCGTTTCTTTACGATCAATTTTTCTTTATTATAGGCATCAAAATTTAATTTTAATAAGCGAGTAAGGAACATTCAAGAGCCTGGAATAGAAAAGGATATGATCAACTTTTCATAAATTTTTCTTGTTTATTTCTCTTCTTTTAATGTCAATTTTTTCATTTTTCCAGGCTCTTGAGCTTCTGTTTCCTTCTTTTTTTTCATAAAAGCATAAGGATCAATCTCAAGAGCCTGAAATAGAAACAAAAATCAATTATTCTTAAATTCCATTTCTATTTTCTTCTTTTCACTCAAGAGCCTGGGATTTGAAAAAAAAATCTACTACTTATCGTGTGTAAAGTACCTACTCACTTTATTTACACGTCAAAAGGCGTAAATGTAATGTTTCGTTTTTTTCGTATATTCGTAATGTAGTGTTCTATCATTCTAGAGACGATCATCCAAATTTTGATTATTATCGGCTCTTGATGCTGTTCTACCGAGCAGAAACAGATTTAAAGATAATTCTAATAATTCCACAGATACTTTGATAGTTTCAAAAAGCGTTACCTATACATATTTCGAGATTAGAAAATCTGATCATCACAGGCAAATTAGCTCCAAGGGGTTAACTACTAGTTGAAATCATTGTACATTTTTTGAAAATCATATAGTAATCAATCAGGAATACATGGAAATTGAAAATCAAAATCAAAATATTTTATTATATTCATATGTTCAGAAGTTATAGTTTTTGAGTTTTTGCAAGAGAATGCCATGGTTGACACAAAGGCTTTGCCGAGGTCACACAGCAGGATCGAGTTGAATTCAAGATTATGAAAAAAATCTATCATATATGAGACTAGGTCCAGGATGGCCAGCACTGTATTTTTGCCTTCCCTAAAGCCAAATTGGCTATTGGAAAAGTAGTTATTATTTTCAAAGAAATTATTTTGGCAGTAGTGAAATTGGTCTATAGTTTTCAGGTAGTTGAGAGTTATTTTTTTTAAAAAATGGGAGTTACAACAGCTCTTTTAAGAACTTGAGGGAATGTATTTTCTTGAAATTTATGGAAAAAATAGTAGCCAAAGAACTCACTGATTTTCTACTTGAAAATGTTTTACCTGCTGAACAACATGGCTTTCTCTCAGGAAAATCAACATTAACAAACCTGCTAACTAGACTAAATGAGTGGATCCTGGCTAATGACAACCATGAACCAATTGATGTCATTTACCTTGATTTTGAAAAAGCATTCGACAAGGTGCCAACAGAATTTTTGCTTTATAAATTGGAACATTTTGGAATTAGAGGTAAATTTCTGAGGTTGTTGGAAGGCTTTCTCACTGTATGTACCTTCCAAGTACGTGTGGATTTTTCACTTTCAAAGGAGCACAAAGTACATAGCGGTATTCCTCAGGGGTCAGTCCTTGGCTCGCTGCTGTTTCTCTCTATCAAGGGCTTCACACGAATAATGCGACATTTGCTGATGATGGAAACCTATACACAAATCCGCTGTTACATCAGGTTGAATTATAAATGGACCTTAACAACATTAAAGCTTGGACACATAAGTGGGGGATGCGTCTGAATGATTACAAATGCACTGTCCTTCATATTGGTCAAAACAATTCCAATTTCAACTATTTCTTTGAACAAACGGAAATAACACCAGTAACGTAACAACGAGACTTAGGAGTCACTTTAACATATGACCTGAAATGGGATACACATATCACACAAATGTCCAAAAAGGCTAATTCAATGATCTACCTTATTCGGACAGCCTTTAAAGACTTATCAAAGGAAATGATCTTGAAACTTTACAAGTCCTATGTAAGACCAAAACTTGAATATGCCCAAACGATCTGGAATCCATACTACATTAAAGACATAGAACAGATAGAGAGAGTTCAAAGAAGAATAACCAGATTACCACAGGAACTTAAAAATTTGTCCTATGAGGAACGGCTCCTGAGATTGAACCTCACAACTTTAAGAGAGAGGAGAATCAGAGGTGATCTCATTGAAACACAACTCAATGGTCACTATGCCTGTAACCTGAGAGACATCTTCCACCTAAGCCACAACATAAATCTGAGAGGACACGATCAAAAGCTTTCTAGAGAAAGATGCAATAAGCTCCTGAGGAGGAATTTCCTTAACAGTAGAGTTGTTTACAATTGGAACCGACCGAGCGCTGACACCATAAGCTCTACCTCCAAAAATTAGTTTAAGAATCGCCTCGACCAGGAAATGACAAGTTGGGCGACAACCTCCTTTGTGCATTACTGTCTATAGACCATACAATTAAAACTAAGAATGCGATAGCTATCTAAACCAATACGGCAGTCTCATCGGTTTTTCTTTAAACCGCCTACTGCTGTTAACAATAATCATAATAATAATTATAATAATAAAATTGGCCAAAATAAATAAAATTACACTAAAACCTGTAAATTTCTCTCTGTTTCAGAGCAAGATTTCGATACTGCCATCGACCTCTACACAAAAGCAATTGCCGCAAACCCAAACGTCTGCATTTACTATGCAAATAGAAGTTTCGCCTATTTGAAAATCGAATGTTTCGGTTACGCACTCCACGATGCCTCCAGATCGGTCGAGCTGGACAAGAGCTACGTCAAAGGTTTTTACAGGAGGGCCGCTGCAAACATGGCTTTGGGCAAATGGAAGGAGGCCCTTAAAGATTACGAGTTTGTTACCAAAATGAGACCAAACGACAAAGATGCTAAATTGAAATATAACGAGTGCAATAAGATTGTCAAGAAGATTGCATTCGAAAAAGCTATTTCGACTGAAGATAATAGAAAGAATATAGCTGATTCAATTAATTTAGATGCAATGAGTATGTTGTTTTTAGTTAGTGGTAATTTGTTTTTAAGCCTATATTGAATTTTTAGCTATTGAACACGAATATGAGGGACCTAAATTGGAAAATGGCAAAGTTACTTTGAAATTTATGAAAGAGTTAATGGAATTGTATAAAAATCAAGGAAAGTTACATAGGAAATTTGCTTATAAAGTAAGCTAGTTTGAAATTACATATTTTTTACAATGTGTATGAAACATTATTATTCCAGATTCTTCTAGACATAAAAACTTACTTTATGGCTCAACCATCGCTGGTCGATGTTTCAATAGCCGACGATAATAAATTTACAGTTTGTGGCGACATACATGGTCAATTTTTTGATCTTATGAACGTTTTCGAACTCAATGGTTTACCTTCTGAAACCAATCCGTACTTATTCAATGGCGATTTCGTGGATCGAGGCTCGTTCTCTGTTGAATGTATATTTACATTATTTGGATTCAAGTTGTTGTTTCCCAATCATTTTTACATGTCTAGAGGTAAGGAAATTTTGTCTTGCATTGAAAATTATTTATTTAAGTCTTCCTTCCTCCTTGCTGAAAATAATTATCTTTGACTTAACTGGAAAAATCTTTATAGGAAATCATGAAAGTGCGACCATGAATCAAATGTACGGATTCGATGGCGAAGTAAAATCAAAATACACTGCTCAAATGGCCGATTTGTTCACCGAAGTTTACAATTGGTTACCCTTGGCTCATTGTTTAAATAAACGCGTGCTAGTAATGCACGGAGGCTTATTTTCTCGCGACGACGTTACCCTCGACGAAATCCGTAAAATTGACAGGAACAGGCAACCGCCTGAAGACGGGCCAATGTGCGAGCTGCTCTGGTCCGATCCCCAGCCACAAGACGGCCGTGCCCCGAGTAAAAGAGGCGTCGGATGTCAATTCGGACCGGATGTGACCAAGACATTTTTAGATTTGAATAAATTAGATTATGTTATAAGGAGTCATGAAGTTAAAAATGACGGATATGAAGTTGCACATGATGGGAAATGTATTACTGTGTTTTCGGCACCGAACTATTGTGATACCATGGGAAATAAAGGTGCTTTTATTACACTTAAGGGTCAAGATATGATTCCTAAGTATACTACATATGAAGCTGTGGTAAGTCAAGTTTTGTCTTAATTATATATTTATACTGAATTTTTTTTTTTTTTTATTCAGCCGCACCCAAATGTTAAACCCATGGCATATGCCAATTCTTTATTAAGTCTAATGTGCTAGTACCTGCTATTTTAAGTAGTTTAATTGATTACATTTTTTACACAACATTGTATAGAATAAAACTTTCCAGGATTACAAAACCTGTGGAAGGACATTTTAGTGATTAGAGGGCTATATTAATCATTTTTCTCATTTGATTATGATGGTGCAGCTTCCTTAATCTGAACAATAATGAATCCAGTTTTTTTTAATATTTGCTAGATGTAGATACATACTGGTATAATATCCACTCTTCAATGAATGAAATTGTTTGGATTTAGGAGGCTACATACAAATTTTTATTTGGATTTTTGTTGTATCGAATTTTTATTTGAATCGAGTTTTAATTTTAATTAGAAAATAAATTAAATCAAAGACACTGCCTTCCAATGTCATTAAAATTTGTTCAATTTCCTAAAACACTGATCCGTTTTTGGTAGTGTATATTTGAAATAAAATTAGTTTCAAAAAAAAAATCAAGTCTTTTATTCGCTGAGAACAACACACATGTTTTTCTGCTAAATATAATTTAAATAAAAAAACAATTATTAAATACATAATACTAAAAATTAAACAATTTCCTGGACCTTTCTGATTTGTCCATCTTTTTCTTCATTGCCGGACTAAAGTTTGTGCTCAGTCTTAACTTCTTCAAAACGTTTGGAGTTCCTTCATTTGCCTTCCTTTTTTTATTCTAAAATAAAATTGAACCTGTTATGTATTTTGTATATATAGCCAGTTGTTGTTATTATTGTCATTATTATAGATAGTCATTATTGTTGACATCTTTTATTAAAAGCGTTGATTGAGGAAGTACACGTTGTGATATACAGGATGTTGCATAGTGGAGAATTTCGATGTTAAAAAACTGATTTTTTCCACTCGCCCTGTATAAGTTGTAAAAAAATTTGTAGCCTACTAAAAAAACTTAAGACCAAGAGAAATCGAATGGCACAAACTATAGGTATAGTTGTATTCACGATACGAGTTTGAATTTTGACCGTTATTTTCACCAGTTGAAAATAAATAAAATCCCTAGATCTGTTTTGTTAATCATCAAATAATGATACATGACATTTCGATTTGACATATAAAATTATCAGATTCGGATTTTTGAATTTCGAATTTTTGCGCAAAATCATTTTAGTTTATTGCTGTTTTCTGCATTATTTTTTGATATTTTGTTATATTCTCAATCGGTTTTTTATGTAGTGTTCTGTACCTTTGTGTTTCGGTGTTGCGTTTCATTTCAAACCTAGTTTTAGTTCGGATTTAAGTGTTTTGTCTTTTTATAAGTGCTTACTTTGGACTCTTTATTTGGTTTATTTTATCTTCTTCAGGTAACTTAAACCTAATACTTACACAATATTACGATTTTAAAAGTGTCATTTTCTTATTAGCGATGCCAGAAAAGTCCTCGGAGAAGTCCGATCGTACCAGGGTCCTGGAGACTTTGCCCTGTTCCAGCATCTCGTATGATTTAGGTGTAGAAGAAAATACGGTAAAATTATCCATTTCAAATTACCACTGTCATAATTCATCGCCAATAATTTTCAGGTATAAACCTTGGAGAAGCTTCTTCTTTACGAGGCGAATCTTTTTTTTTCTCCAAGCAAGAGGAAAAATGACAAGGTAGTGTTTTCAAATTTAGTAAAAATAAGCAAATGATCCTTTTGTGGAGACCAATAATTTATGGGAACCCTGTGGCTCAGCAATTTATACATCTCGTATACAACCATTTCAAGGTGTCTCATGAAGATCAAAATCCCATAACTGTAGGTTAATAACAATAAAGTTATTGTTGATTGATCATAGAAACGTTTTCGTCTTAATCTCAGTAAATGTAGCTACAAGTTTTCGAAGCGAGTGGATTTTGTTAATTTTTAATAAATAAATTGTAATTTACTGTTTCATTACCTTTCTAGGAGACAGCTAAGGTTTTAAAACTGAGTGAAACCACTGTCTATAAATATACTCCTGGACAAAATTATCGCACCACTGCTTATGGTGCTTATGTGCAGTGGTGGTGCGATAATTTTGTCTAGGAGTATATAAGGATGGTTCAGTTGAGTCTGAAATTACCCCTGTCACCCGGAAGCGTAAGAAGTTGCAGACAACTGATTCAAGTGAAAGCGTCAAACAGATTATTCAATTAGAGATATACAAAATGTATACAGAGAGTAAGTTGATGTTCTACTTTGAACATAGAGTTGTTTCAATGTTACTTCATATCAATATTACCAGATTATTCCAAAAGAATACACCTGATAACATTGGAACTTCTCAGATCAAATTAAACTGTTTTTCATAGTTTAATACTGTTATTTATTTCAGGTCAACACAAATTAAGATGCTGCTAGGATTTCTTTCATTCTATAATTTCATGACATTTTTTAGAATCGTTTTCTTGATCTTCATTATAGGTACCTGAGTTATTGGAGTCTTTCATAAGGATAATTATTCATATTCCCCTCTTTGACGTACTTACACAATTTTGGTGCAGACAGTTTCTGTACCTTCTGCTGCATGCTTTATCTTGTGTGTTGGGTTTATTGTTGTTCAGATGTTTAGCATTTTGTGTTGCCATATTTCCTAGTGGACTTTGGTACCTCTAAACATGGTATCACTAATTAAATTTCCTATTTAATGTATCATCTAATATTATGCTTGTATAAATAGGTCTGTTTGTTATCCTCCACTAATGCACAATAATTGACACTTTTCTGCACTAAGGCGTTTGTTATGCGGTTAGTGCAAATAGTGTAAGGCGTTTGTTATTTCAGTGTAGGGTGGTGCCCAATCTTGCACTACCTACACCTGCTCAAGAGGAGGTGTAACCAGTGCAGAATGGGGAGGGCACAATAGTGTTGTTTTGTTTGGCCGTTACTATATTTTCAAACCTCGATTTCAGAGATATCTGTATAAGAAGTCACTACAGTCTCAAAATATTTTCTTAATGTAGTTTCGTTTATTGCGCTTCTGGGTATTAAAAACTACTTCAATGAAACTGTCTTCAAGCTGGAAGAAAAGGAATCTTCATCTTCTCTATAATTTCCGACAATAAAACTTTGTAAATTTTATTTTTTTCAATAACATTACACGCATTTTTTCTGAGTCAGTTTCCACTTTAATTTATTTAAATAATCATTTTTTGGGGTTAGAGATATCCGCTGCCATCGCTACACGAACTGCACTAACGCGTTTGGTAGTTTTCCTTTACCTGGTGATTATGAGCAAGAGCAACACCTAACTGCACCAGCAGTCTGCACTGACCTATCCTACACTAAAATAACAAACAGACCTATTATTTAGAGGGGTAATGTCCCATCTGTCACTCTTCCTTTTTTGTATAATTTAGCAATTCTTGTAAAAAAAACCATTACTACACAGGTAATTGATTAATTAATAGTTAAATTTAATTATGCACGTCTACTTGTGTCCGTTGTCTCTTGTGTGTGATGTTTGTACCTGCGACGAAGTAGCACTGGTGATGACTTAAGGCCGGAAGCACTCTGCGAATTTTCTTAATAAATTATTGCACAGAATGTATACTCCTCTCTTCTTCAATTATAAGTTTAAGCCATTTCACAAACTAGACTGGGTAGTAGTCTTTTTTTATAGTGACTGGTGTTAAATACTAATACTAATTTACTTTGTTCAATTACCTCTAAGAGTTACGTTATAATGGTGCCACCAGCAAATTCCATAAGAATACACTCGGTGTCATTGTTGACGAAAGTCTCAGAGCTGATTGAACAAGATATACTAACTAGAATCAGTAATATTTGCTGTTGCTACAGTACTACAATATTTAAACAAGCATTTTTCGTTTTTAGAATTGCATGTTACCCTTAAGACTCTAAGTGATAGGCTGAAAGAAAGGGAAATTTATTACGGTTCCCAGTCAAGTTTAGGCAGGGTTTTGCCCACATTAGGATTTACCTTTAGAAAGGATGATCCAAGAAGAGCCCTCATGGAAAAGCCTGATGTAAGCCACATGAGAAGAGTTTTCCTGAAGTCATATATGGACAACGAAGCCCTAGGTCCTGCTAAGCTTCCATATGTGTTTCTTGATAAAACATGGATTTTCTCAAATGGATCTCTAAGGAAGTCTTGGCAGGATGAGGATATTCGTTTCGTAAAAAAAATTAAGGGTGATGGTGAGAGGTATGACACTATTAGATGAGGAAGTTTGAAAAAAAAAAGTACACATTTCATTTTTGTAAGCTAAAAAGGATGCAGTCAAATTCATAATATTTTTAAGGGAATTCCTAAAGAGACTGTTATTATTTAACTAGAATAATGCAACATTGTGTTTCAGATTCATAATTTTACATGCGGGAGGACAAGATGGTTTTATCGATGGTTCCAGTCTGATTTTCAAATCGAAAACCAATTCAGGAGATTACGATGGGGAGATGAACAGCGAAAATTTTGAAAATTGGCTGCGAAACCTTCTTCTTCCCAAACTAGAAGAACCATCCATTATCATCTTGGATAATGCGTCATGCCATAGCAGGCTACTCAAAAAGTGGCTTGTTCTGAGCTGGAAGAAAAACGAAATGCAAAGGTGGTTGGAGGCCAAGGCTATCCCTTTTGAGCCAGCTTCTACAAAAGCAAGCTTGTGGAATAGCATCCTACAAGTCCCCAAGACGAAGAAGTCCTTTGTTGTGGACAATGTCATTATGGAAGCGGGTCACCAGGTTATGCGCTTACCTCCATACCATTGTCAATTTAATGCGATTGAAATGGTATGGAGTCAAGCCAAACGGTATTATGACCAGATGATTCTTATTGAAAAAGATGTCTTAGGGACATGGCAGAAAGCGCTGGATAATGTGTCCAAAAAACAATGGGCACATTATGTAAAACACACGGATGAGGTAATTAGGGCCGCATATGACAAGGAAAAAAACATAATAATTTCTGTGAGTAAAGTGCAGCCCCTAATTATAAACTTTGATTCTGACTCGACAAGTGATAGTAAATAGTTCTCGAAATCCTTATTAGCTCATACGTATATTATAAATAGTAATGTGAGCTATGGTGATTGTTTCAAAAATAAGAAAAGGAGACGATTTTGCAATAGCACCGAAAGACCTGCCATTCAAAGACATGATAGCAAATATGGAAGCCAGCATACGAACATTACCTTCCTTAAACCACTGCGGAGGAAATACGCAATGAAACATCTAGTCGTAGAATCACGACTAGTGAAACCTCCAAAGTGCAATCTGACATACGAGAAAAGGAAAGCTATTCGCAGCCTGAATACAGACGCAAGCGTACTAGTCCTACCTGCGGATCAGAGAAGTGCGCAATTTTCGAGCTAATTTCAATTTCAAACTAGTTAAATCTCCTATCAGATCTTTGACCTCGGAATCAGTAAACTAAAATTTTGACGAGTTTTCTAAATCCAAAAATTTAAATTATCAAACACAAGCGATAAGCGACTGGAAGTCAAAGCACCGAAAGCAGAATCGAAAAATTAGATCCCGTTAACCGGAAATCACTACACTCATGAGATTAATTGCGTCATAACTGATACACTAAAACACAGGTGTTTCCGCCGGATGTTGCATCATATCCTCAATACAAAAGTTAATAAACAATTCCTAGCAAATAACAAGAAGGCGATAATCTAGGTCGACCAATAGGATTGGTTTGTAAAATGCTAAATGACTGCCCCACATTAGGT